TGGGGTGGCATCATCTGCAAAGACGACTCTTGATACACTTCGGGATGAGCAGTCCAAATTTGGAGAGGAAGCGCAAAAGCACGTCCCTGCGGACGTCTATGCTAAGGCAACTCCTTGTTTGGATCAGATCAAGCAGGCTTTTGATGACAATGACAAAGCTCTGTCTTGAGGAAGGGTATAGTCAGTTCTGAGTATATTGACTTTTACATACTCAAGGCGAGGGTCTTGTGTCAGGGATGGGTGTATTGGAGGCAATACTTCCAGTCCATTCGGTAGCTCCATGTATTTCACCGAAAGTAGTGGATTCTCTTGACATCTGAGATTTGATTGTACGTTCCAAACTTCAATGAAGCGTAAGATAAGAAGAAGTCATGTCAAATGTACCTTCCTGCACAAGTACTAGTCTTGAGATCTGCTAATCACGAAACACAGCGCTTACCTCACCCGTAATTGTAGTTGGTTGATTGTTTGTTAGTTACAGTGATGTATCGTCTCGCTGCTTACATTAGCTTACATTACATATTACTTGCTCAACAGCAAATAGGAAATGAAAACCCAACAACCATTTGAAGTTTCTGGGCGTAAAGCAAGCTTTCCCGGGGGCCACACCCCCGTCGATCCGAACCTTAAAGCGTACAACGCCCATTCCGAAGACTACAAAGTTTGGTCTGGCATCCCCTTTCCTTTGCCCTTCAGCCCTTGCATACCATGTGACTTGGCGTCTATTCCAGAGGGGGTCGGATAACCCCATAGGGTCAGGCGATGTTTGTTTACAAGTATCTAACCGCAGCCAGACACTCAGTTGCATTCATTCTTTCAGGCTTATTCATAGAATGCTATATACAGAAGGGAAGTATCTACATTAGCTCCAATGCCAGGCAATGTGAGACATCGACTCAATCTGGCATGATCTGCCACCGAAGATCTGTTCTCGAGGTCTTTAAAGGTAGCTATCAAGATGCGTGTCTCTCTGACAAGATAGTGGTCAGATAATTTTATTATGCTGACCAGACAGATTAATGTGCAAGTCAGATCAGCGGTCGTTGATTAATACTTAAATTGCCACTACGGAGTATGAAAGGTTGGATATTATCATTTAAATTAACACTAAAGTATCTTGCTTTGCTTTTACTACATCATTTTTATGACCATAACTCCCATGTAAATCACCGACACAAAGAAATTATTATCAAGGGAAAAAAAAAAAAAAAAAAAAAAAAAAAAAAAAAAAGAAAAGAAAAGGAAACAATCGTTCCACCCTGAACTACATACCACGACCTGCCTGCCAGACTAACATTCCAACGGGTACTTCCACCACACTGTAAGATCAATCAATCCAATCTCACAGCATCCATCCAGTTACCTCCATTTTGCGCCACATATTCCCTCATCTGCGCAACCCAAGACACTGACTTCCTATCCACAGGAAAGAAAACATGACCACGACCGCAAACAAAGAATTCCACATACATATCATGCGGACTCAGGCCTCTTCTTTTCAGCTCTAGCAGAATGCATTCATCGGGGCGGCGCAGCCTGACCCTTGTTTCTTCACCCACTCCCGCTCCACGCTTCTTGCCATACCACTCATACTGCAAACTGCCCGCGTCCTCAATCGGCACGCCGAAAATATTCCTTTCCCCCTGAGTAGCAGTTTCGGGTGCGTATTTCCAGCGCACATACTCAGCCAAAACATCCATAGGAGTCTGCAACACTGTTCCTTGGATATATTTATGTAGGAAGGTAAGGGTAGGCTGCGCCATGATGAGTCGTCGGATACTATTGCTTTGCTGGTCGCGCTTCTGGCGCAAATACATATCCAGTTGGACAAGGAAGAGTGTAGCGAGAAAGATATCCCCATCTTGCCAGACGCACCGGTTACGGATCGTCCACTCCCGGCGGTCATTGTCTGGGATATCCATCAAAGCCCAGATTTTCAAAATGGGTTGATAGGCTGCTGCCGGGAGGTTATAGCCAGCCTGGTGAAGGAGAACTATGATATCTAGCACAACGCTATCGCGGTATGAAAGCATTCGGAGCCATTGGATGGACGGCACGAGGACATCAAGGTTATGCTGGCGGTCTTGAGGTTGGAAAGTACGCCACTGTCTGGGTTGGGCGCACAATCGAGGATAACAGAGGACGGGGAAGGTAATGGAAGAGAGATGGTGGCGTGCTGCTGCATAGGTTGTGGTAATATGTCCGATATATGCGCAGAGGAAGTCGTGAAAAGGTTTAGATACAGCACCTATGTTGACTATATCATTGACGTCGAGGTAACTGGTGAGGTCAAGAGCGAGTTGAGGGTAGTATGCGAAATGTCGCAGGAGGTCATACCCTCCATGGGGGAGGATAGGGACTAGAAGTTGAGGGGGTGGCTGAACTCTAGCATTTTCATTCGAAGCCATATTCAAGGCTGGCGGGCCGATTACCCGTGGCTGCTGTGATAGAGTCCGGGCTTCTGGGTGGCCAATGGCTCGTGGCTGCTGTGGCACAGTACTGGCTTCCGGATGGTCGATAACGATTGGCTGCTGCGGTACAGTCCTGGCCTCTGAACGACCAAGGTCTCGTGGCTGCTGTGGCATTGTTCTGGCTTCCGGGCGACGGATAACTGTTGGCTGCTGTGGGAGAGTCATGGTTTCTGGATGGCCGATGGCTCCTGGCTGCTGTTGTACGGTTCTGGCATCAGTCCCATCTGGGTTCAACACACTAGGCACTGCTGAAATGACGTTATTGCTCGAAACTCTAGTCTGGGTAGCAATCTGCGGCCTTGCTCCCACTGTCCCGGCTGGCTGAAGGGGTATGGATGCCAACTGGTCCTGAGGGATTGGCTGAAAGCTGCCAGTGAATTGTGCAGGGGGGATATTCGGCACCTTGATACCCTCGTTGGTTATCTGTACAATTGCCGGTGTTTTTACTTTTGTGTTGCTTCCCTGCTGACACATAGGTATGATGTTCTCTGGCTGAATACCGGCGATTAACTGCTGGCGGATTAGATATGCCTGCAGCGCTAATTGGGGGTTAATGTTTGCTCCCAGTTGTTGGGGTTGCTGTGCTGGCACTGCGGTGGATCCCTGTTGCTGGTTGGGATTCTGTGGGGGTTGGGAGATTTTCGGTGGCCCAGAGGGTTGCGAGACGATATTTGAGCGCCCAGGGGGGAGCTGTGGTCGTGGAGGATGCTGTGGTCGTGGAAGATTCTGTCCTCGATGGGATTTCTGTGCCCGAGGGCGATTCTGCACCTGAGGACGATTCTGCACTTGAGGAGCGTTTTGCCCTTGAGGGGGGTTCTGCGCTTGATGGGGTTTCTGCGCTTGAGGGGTTTTCTGCGCTTTAGATGGCTTCTGAACTTGAGGCGGAATCTGCACTTGAGGCGGAATCTGTACTTGAGGGGGGTTCTGTGCTTGAGGGAGATAGTACTGTGCTTGAGGGTGGTACTGTGCTTGAGGGGAATATTGTCCTTGAGGAGAATACTGTGCTTGGGGGGGATACTGCGCTTGGGGGGGATACTGCGCTTGGGGGAGATACTGTGCTTGATAGGGCAATTGTGCCGGATGAGCGAGCTGTTGTCGCTTTCGAGGAGGAAGCTGTGTTGGAGGAGTGAGCTGTCTTTGAGGAGTGAGCTGTACTTGAGTGTAGCGCTGATCACAGCCGCTCGCATAAGCACCAGGAAGGCTCAATGTGCTCTGTGTGCTATGTGCTCTAGTATGACGGGCATTGCTGCACTGGTTCGGTGTCTGATTGCTCTCTCTAGAGCCCGCAAGAAAGAGCAAGCACTCAGCGGCATCCACATCCTCTTGGGTAGTGGGAGTAGTCATTTTGTGAATGTGTCGCCGTGCAAGGCCAATCAGAAAAGCACGAAGAGGCTGACGCGGAGCACTGCAGTGATCAGTTGGATCCGCCTGTAGAACGGGGCTGATTCTGAAGAAGAGACCTTACATGAACGATGCGATACTCGTATATCAGCTATCTTGAACAGAGTGCTGACCGGAGATTCTTAGTTGTCAACACCACAAAAAGAGAAGGTTGGGGAGCAGTAGTAGTCGGTGACGAACCCCAGAGTAATTGGATGTGTGTTGGTGTACAAAGCAGTGAATAGATATAAAGTTGCTATGGGAGATGGAAAACACTGGTTCCCTATGTAGTGATGGAATGAATGCCGAGTCACTTCAATTCACTGGCTGGAAGGCTGAGTAGATAATAAGGTGTGTATAGTACCGTTGGTACTGTGATATTAATGCTCTTATGATGCATTTCATGTTAGGATTATGTGGTAGTATTGAGTATATTCGCATGCATATATTCATCCGCAGCTGTGTCACTATACCTCTAATCCAGAACCGATGAGAGCCCTGGTGGTGCTATCGTTTCTCCTAAGAGTTGCTTTGACATGAAGACTTTAAATGTTGTAATCAAACGCTTTAGTAAATACCAAAACACTTGCAGGTTAGAAGGAAATGTAAATTTGCTTGCAGTATATACACAATAGAGTACTTTAAGCAGACTGAGCTGAATAGTCAATTGTTGAGATTGATCTTATCTCGAATATACATAGCTGTTTGCTATAAGAATTCCACAGCATAACGTCGTCCAGACATCCCACATATCCCTATATCCAGTTGAGAAGATATTAAAACAAATGTTGAATCAACCTCGACACAGCGCCAAATTTTGCAGCCGAGGTGTACGGCAAGAGCCGCCCGCCTGTCCTAGTTTATTCCCCGTTGTTGATCGAAACAATCGAGCGAGGGTAGCAGATGACGATGGTCTGTGCATCGCAATCGTAGGACAGAATATATCTATACAAGTAGTATTTTCAAAGCCAAGACAGTCCAAACGCAAAAGAACACTCCGTCCGCGCGGCGTAAAATAGAATGCCAATCCAAGAACCTGTTGAAAGGTGACCGCCAAAACTCCGTGAAACAAGAATACCATCCACTGTTAAATCGAGGGGGTAAAGAAGTAGTAAGTGTCGTAAGGAAGTTGAGTAGGCATGAGATAAATTATCGGCGGTGCAGCAGAGTCAGGAACTCCTCCCGGGTCTTCGCGCTCGACCGCATGCAGCCAAGCATGCAGCTGGTCGTGGTGGTGCTGCTAGTTTTTTGCACACCACGCATCACCATGCAAAGATGGGACGACTCCATGACAACACCAACACCACGGGGTTTCAAAACCTCAGAAATAGCCAGAGCGACTTGCTTGGTCAAGCGCTCTTGCACCTGGAGACGACGAGAGAACATTTCCGCTAGACGAGCCAACTTGGAGAGGCCAAGCACACGGCGATCAGGGATGTAGCCAATGTGCATCTACCAAAAAGGTGTCGGTTAGTATCATTTCCCCTCATACCCGAGAAAATAGTCTTACCTTTCCAGTGAAGGGAACCATGTGGTGCTCGCACAGCGAGAACACCTCAATATCCTTGACAATCACCAGCTCGTCATGATCCTCATGGAAGACCGCACCATTGACAAGATCCCGTACATTCTCCTCATAGCCCTTGGTAAAGTAGAGCATGGCCTTGGCATATCTCTCTGGGGTCTCGCGCAGGCCCTCTCTTTCCGGGTCCTCTCCGACACACTCCAAAATCGTCCGAACAGCTCCTGCGAGCTTCTTAATGCGCTCCTCTGTCTCTTCGGGCGACGACTCCAGTCGCTCCCTGGTACCGGGGCCTGAGGAATGGAAGTGTTAGATCTCGAAGATACCCAATCGCATCAACAACACTTACAAGGCCAACTCAGTCCATCGAAGTCAATTGGAGGGAAGAGGGTGTAAGGGCTTGCTGGTCTGCTGACAGTCGCAGGCGGGGTCAATGCACCGGCCTCATCTCTCGGATCGCGGGGAGGATCGTTCAATGTCGGCCTGAATCGCGCAATTAGTGAATGAATTGATACCATCCCGCAGATGCGACATACTTAGCAGAGGTAGACCCCCGGGGGGTATCATCTACCAGGGACTCCCCGGAAGGGTGAGAGGCAGAGGCAGGCAGGTTGAACTCCACCGGGATGCGGGGAGTGAACGACGAAAGGATGGAGGAGTTGAGACTTTCCCTCTCCCGAGCGTCGCGCGAGCTGGTAGAGGGGCTGGTAGAGACGTGGAGAGGAGAGCCGCCATTCAGCATATGAGAGGGTATGGCAGACCTAGGCTTCGGGCCAGGAGGAGGGGGAGACGTTCCAGAGCCCATGTTTATTTTGGTGTGAGGAGAAAAGTAGGAAGCGAGCAGAGGGAACTGAAAGACGGAGGAGATGTGGGTATGGGCGGCGTAGACAGTAGTAGGTTAAGCAACGCCTTGGGGATTGAAGAACGGTTGGAGGAAGTGAGAGAGGAGAAAGAAAAGGTTACAGCGTCAGAGACATGGCAGTAAGCACAAGGAGGAAAAAGGATTCTGGAAGGAGGAAGAGGATTAGTGTAAAAACCGAAAAAGCTAAGAATGACTCCGACCTTCGAAGGGGCGGCGACTCAATGATTTGATTTCCCTTTCAAACCCCTCCGCTTTTTCGGACGGCGGCGTGATCGCTGTGTTGACCGCCTTTGTCTTGTAGCCACTCACGGGCATCTTGGCGGGGCTGATTAAGCTTCCTCTCCCCCAATTTCCTGTCGAGAATTTCCCCTCCATAGTAGTAAGATTTTCCAGGGTGATTCTGTCACTGATTCTGTTCTGTGGCTAGGAATGCTTTGTTTTAATAATGACTAAATGTGGGACTGCTCGCCATTGCATACATATATATTGAATAATTAAAATTGCTAAACTCGTCTATCTGAATCCACCTCCCTTACTATCTTGCAAAGAAATCCATCCAGCTCGGTCAATGCGGCTCCGATTGGCAGCGGCAGAAAAACGCTCCAAAGTGGGGCACCAATCATCATGTCGACATCACGCGGGATGCTGCCTGAGGCATTCTACCCAAGAAAGGGAAACCATTGTCTGGGATGAATGATGCAGTACTAAGTACTTAAGCTAGGCTTCGTATGTTACATTGCAGCCACTAAACTCCTGAAATCCGACTGTGCAGCAAAATTCGTTGTCATATGTTTGTTTCCCCCTTTCTCGCTGTGTTTGTAGCAACCCCATCGAAGAAGTACATGAAGTGAGACGAGCGAGCCATTTCCTTTAGGTGCCAGCAGTGATGCAGATTTACATCTGAATCTGGTAGCTCATGGCTCCAACTCTTCGGTCGGCACATCCTCCAGATCCTTGCCGACAATCGCATCTGCCACCTTCCACACCTGCAGCAGGTTGTCCTCAGCCGCCGAGCAGAGCACCCACGGGTCATTCAGGTTCCAGCTGAAATCCGAAATGCGGTTTGTGTGGCCGCCGTGCATGAACAGACTAGAAACAGGGTCAGCAGGGTAACATGGTACCATACGGGAAGCGTTACGTACAGCTCGGGAGGACCATCCTGGGCATCCTCGGGGGTCTGCTCCTCACCAGTCCGGCTAAGATCCCAGAACATGATCTTGCGGTCATAGCTGGCACTGGCCAGTACGCTCTCCTCAAATGGATGCCAAGAGAGCGAAGTCACGGAGTCGTTATGACATTCGAGCGCATGCAGTTTGGTCTTTAGGTTACGTAGATCCCACAGGCCGATCGACTTATCAGCCGATCCGGTGGCCAGGACCGTTTCTGCGGCAGGGTTGAACGCAACGGCATTGATGGCATCACGGTGCTGACCCTCCGCTGAGGCAGCCGCACGTGTGGTTTCGGCCTCACGCACATCGAGAATTTGAAGTGTGATATCATCGGATACCGTTCCAATGAGCGAAGAATGCAGAGGATGATATTGAACATCGTTGACAATGGAAGAATGGTGGGTGTACGTCCGAACAGGCTTAAGTGCCTTGTTGCCCTTCGTGTATGTCGTCAGATCCCTGCGCAGCGGTTAGCTCCTGAGCAATCAAGTTCCGTCTAAAAAATCAAAGCTTACCAAAGACGGACTGTCTTGTCCTCGCTACCTGTAGCAAGGTGACCAGTAGTGTGTGGACTCCAGCTGAGACCGAAGCCCTCGCGAGTATGGCCGAGAAGTTCCATCTGAGGGTTGACTGTTCCTGTAGGCAAGCTCGGGTGCTTTGAGCGATCCCAGATCATTACACGGCCATCTGTGCACATGGTGGCAATGATGTTGGGGTTCTGTGGTTGGTATCGCGCCTTGTTGACTTCACCCTTGTGATCAATCTTTTGCACGATGTTGAACTTAATTTCCATAGGCGCCTTCTTTGAGCTGCCGCCGTATCCGCCAATCTCCCCACGCTCTTCATCGTAGTCATCTGGGTTAGGCGCAGTCGGGTTAGGGAGCTGTACATGAGCAATCTGCAGGTAGTTTTGCGCATCACTCGAGGTATGAGTGCCAATAAGCAGGCGATGGGTCGAGTAAGGCTTATCGGGAACACTGCCGGACGTTAAAATCCATAAGGAAATGAATGGAACGGTCGCGCATACTCTTGTTTATCAGGTAGCCATTGTGTTGTGAGGGTGGGCCATTCTAATGCCGTGCTCAGGATCATGTCATAAAGGAAAGGTGCGTTCTTCTTCCATGTCTTGTACTCTGTTCCACACATTAGTTAGGTCGGGAGACACCCCACTACAGTCTGGGCAGCGCACCTTCGTTGATGATCTTCTCCTCAGTGCGCTCCTCCTCCTGCTCTTCTTGCTCCTCAATGAAACCTAGCGGGAGGAAGGATTAGTTAAGCTCGCGCAACAGTATCCGGGGGGTCACCTCTCACCATCATCGTAAGGCTCCATGGTTGTGGGGAAGACGATTGAAAAGGCTGAGTATCAGAATACTTTCAAATAGGGCCGATTGCTCAGGATCGTGATGCAGCGGAGTAGAAGAGGTGGGGTTAAGATAACCAAGTGGGATCTGGGAATGGCAGGATAGCAGAGCAGAGCTTTGAGCTGCGGATGAAGCTCTCACTCTCTGTTCGCACTGGAGAAACGCGACTTTCCCTTAGGCGGCGCGTTAATGGGCGCCCGGGGCCGCTAAACCTAGTTGGGTAGGCGGGCTTGGCACCACCTGATTGAGCTTCGGCGGCGGATGGCTGAGGTCACAAAAGTGACTTGGAAGAGTCATCATTCCTTGGTCTCATCTATCTTCACTTTGCCCCTCCTCTCACCTCTGCTCGGCGCTCCCGTCGCCCCATCTCTCCCATATTTTCTTTTTGTTTGCCTTCCTTCCCTTGTTGTATTCTACTGTCATACGTTCTTTGAAGATACCCAGTCGTTTCTGCTTGTCTACGACCGCATTGCCGTGCGCTGGATGATTTGCCTCCGAGCTTGGGTGCTTCATTGAAACCTGACGACTACTACGACGACCACGACGCAAGGACGCTCCTTTCTTCCTATACATCCTACGCCTGTATCGCTTGCGAATATCTTTTTTTTAAACAAATTCCGCCATGGGTGTTCCCAAGTTCTTCCGCTGGCTGAGCGAGCGGTATCCCGCGATCTCTATGTTGATCGCGGAGAACCGTATACCGGAATTCGACAACCTATACCTGGATATGAATGGCATTATTCATAACTGTACACACAAGGACAGCGATTCACCGACTTTTCGCATGACCGAGGATAAGATGTTTATCGCTATCTTTAACTATATCGAGCATTTGTATGGCAAGATCAAGCCTAAGAAGCTCTTCTTCATGGCAGTCGATGGTGTGGCTCCGCGAGCCAAGATGAACCAGCAGCGTGCTCGACGTTTCCGGACGGCTTTGGATGCTGAGACGGCCAAGGAGAAGGCGATTGCTCAGGGTATCGAGATGCCTAAGGAGGAAGCTTTTGACAGCAACTGCATTACACCCGGTACCGAGTTTATGGCCAAGTTAACTGAGCAATTGAAATACTTTATCAACAAGAAGATCTCCGAAGACAAGGATTGGCAGGGAGTCGAGATTGTGCTTTCTGGCCACGAAGTTCCAGGTGAAGGTGAACACAAGATCATGGAGTACATCCGGCATGCGAAAGCACAGCCTCTCTACGATCCTAACGTCCGTCATTGTTTGTACGGCCTTGACGCTGACCTGATCATGTTGGGGCTTCTGAGTCACGATCCCCACTTTTCCCTGCTTCGTGAAGAAGTCACCTTCGGTCGTCAAGTCCAGAAGAAATCTAAGGAGCTTGAACACCAGAACTTCTTTCTTTTGCATCTGTGTATGGTTAGAGAATACCTGGAGTTGGAGTTTCAGGAGTTGGAACAGGAAGGTGTTTTGAGCTTTCCCTTTGACATGGAAAAGGTTATTGACGATTTCATCCTAATGGCTTTCTTTGTTGGAAACGACTTTTTGCCCAACTTGCCCAATCTGCATATTAACGAGGGCGCTTTGGCATTCATGTTCAAGATCTATAAGGAATCATTGCCCAAGATGGGTGGCTACATTAACGAACAAGGTGTTATAAAAATGGACCGACTGGGCATCCTTTTGGATGCTCTGAGCGATGTCGAGTTCCGCTTCTTTGAGCACGAGTACTCAGATGCGCAGTGGATCCGGGCCAAGAAGGGCGATGTCACAGAACCCCAGGAGAAGCCCAAGGGTTTTACGATCACTCCTGCCCAGAAGGAATTATTCAAGCAGGTTAAGAAGTACGTTCTGAACCGACCTGGAAAGGCAGCAGAAACGAAGCCTCTTGACTTTGCTTCTTCATTGCCGGCTCGTGACCGCAAGTTTGTGGAGCAGCTGGCAGATGACCTTCGGCTACCGTGGACGACCGTCGCAGACGAACATGGTGATCGCTTCATCCGCGTGCAGCTCCCTGGAAATGATAATGACGACAGCGATGATGAGGACGAAGAGGCTTCCGTTGCGGTTCAGCGAATTATCCGAAGATACGATAACGCAAAGGTCCAGGAGCTATCACCCGAAGAAGCCCAACAAGCGGCGGAGAAGAAGTATGAAGCGAAGTTCCAGGAATGGAAGAATAATTACTACGTCGGCAAGTTCGGCTGGGGGCTTGATAGCCATGAGGAGATGAGGGAGTTGACGGAGAACTATGTACAGGGTCTCCAGTGGGTTCTGTACTACTACTACAGAGGCATTGCATCCTGGCCGTGGTTCTTCAAGTATCACTACGCACCGATGATCTCCGGTAAGTGTCGAACCTCTGCAGAGACCTAGTGTTTTGACTGACTTTTCACAGACGTAAAGAAAGGTCTCAATGCAGATACCAACTTCCGACTTGGCAAGCCCTTCCGGCCGTATGAGCAGCTGATGGGTGTGTTGCCTGACCGAAGCAAGAAGACTGTTCCTGCGGCGTACCGAGATCTAATGACTTCTCCGGATTCCCCAATCATCGATTTTTACCCACGTGATTTTGAACTGGATATGAATGGAAAGAAGATGGAATGGGAGGCAGTTGTCAAGATTCCTTTCATTGAAGAACGTCGCCTGTTGGATGCCCTCGCAACTAGGGAACACCTGCTGACCCCGGAGGAGAAAGCACGGAATGGATTTGGTGCCAGTCTCAAGTTCACTTACTCTCCGGAGGTGCAGTTCATCTACCCGTCCTCTCTTCCCGGCGTGTTCCCAGACATTCCGAACTGCCACTGCATCGAGAACATTTTCGACTTGCCGACCATGGATGGACTTGAGCCGTACATTGGATTGATGGATGGCGTGCAAATGGGGGCTGCAGCGTTGGCTGGCTTCCCTAGTCTGCAGACGCTGCCCCATGTTGGACAGCTGGGCCACCATGGTGTCACTGTTTTCCAGCAGGAAAGCCGCAATGAGAGCATGGTCATTACATTGCTCGATCCTGGGAGCAGGTCGAGCGTCGAGTTGGCCAAACAAAAACTTGGGCAGCGCGTCCATGTGGGTTACCCATTCTTGCAAGAAGCGCTCGTGATCCGTGTATCAGATGAACTTTTCGATTATATTCTACCGGAACCTACGGGACATGTTGTTTCTATCCCCCATACCCCTGCTCAGATTGATCAATGGAAGAGAAAGGCCGAGCGGATCGAATCTTCTTACAGCAAGAGACTTGGTACCATTATCGGCCCGGTTGAGTCGATGGTGCATGTCCAGCTGCTCAAGGGTTTGATCAAGACCGATGAAGGTGCTACGGTCAAGGAATTCGCCGATATTCCCGGGCAAGAAACCGACTACGCTCTCCAGCTGGTGGTTGACGATGTGATCAACCCCGATCAACGATTCATTGAACGCGAGGCTCTACCCATTGAGGAGGAGTTCCCCGAAAACTCCCGGGCGTTCATGCTAGGAGAATACAACTATGGACGGCCCGTTCAGATTACGGGTCATGATCATGGCAAGGTGAATGGAATGATTGCAGCGGTGAAGGTTCGGGAACCGGAGTTTGGAAGAGACCGAGCCAGGGATGCTGAGAAGCTCTGTCCTTACATGCCGTCATACGCCATTGCTCGTAGCTTGCGGCTTAATCCCTTGGTTCTAGCCAAGATCACCTCGTCGTTTTCCGTTGACGTCGAAGGGCAGCGTGTCAATCTGGGTCTCAATTTGAAGTTCGAGGCCCGGAAGCAAAAGGTTCTCGGCTATTCTCGCCGTGGAGACTCTGGCTGGGAATTCAGCCCTAAGGCCGTAGAGCTCCTACAACAGTATATGATCAAATTCCCCGAGTTTATCGCGGGCATTCAGCGCAATCCGCAGAATGATCGGTACACTCCTACGGACTTCTATCCTGAAGAGACTGCCCTCTTGAAGATGAAGGAAATTCGAGACTGGTTGAAGTCAATTGAGGCGAAGAACTTCGAGCGTGTCCCTCTGGATGCAGAACAGCTTGATTCTGACCTCGTGAAGTTGATCGAACAAGATGCCGACCAGCTGCTCCAGAGCATGCCACCCATGGAAGTGAAGGCGGTCCGTGGCCTGCCCCGCAGCGCCCTGCTGCGGCCGTCCGACGTTGAGCAGCGACTTGGAAACCAGACGTTCAAGCTGGGAGATCGGGTCGTGTATGCTCAAGATTCCGGCAAGGTCCCCATCGCCACTCGAGGCACTGTCGTCGGCCTTACCCGGACACCACGGGCTCTTCTCCTTGATGTGGTCTTTGACGTCTCGTTCATGAGCGGTACCACGCTCGGCGACCGCTGCTCTCCGTTCCGAGGCCAGACGGTTCTGGCGTCTTCGGTGCTGAACGTCTCCTACCGGCAGCTGACCGTCAACACGCGTGCGTCAAACAGCGCGCAAAAACAGTCCCAGCAAACGCCCTTGACTGTTGCCGGATATGGTGCTCCGCTTGGGCCCGGTGGGCAGGGACAGCTGAGAGAAGCCCCGGCCCCACCGCCCTTGGGTAATTCCTACCGCGGCGCAGTCTCCGGCATGGGTAATGGTCGCGGACGTGGACGTGGTGCCTCCAATGGCGTGGGTGCTCAAACCACGTTGCCGTTCCGGCCTCAGCCCAACGGAGCATCGCCAGCCGGTGGTCGAGGTCGAGGAGGCATGAATGGTGGCGGCCGTGGTGGGCGTGGAGGGCCGGCGCGCACGCGAGGCGGATATGTCGCTGTGGACAACGATCCGGAAGCCGGGGTGCTCAACCATAATCCAAACTTCCGGCCCAAGAACTACTCGCAGGTGCCACCACCGCAGAGCATCTCTGGACGAGGCCGTGGTCGTGGTAACAACATGCGAGGAGACCGGGGAACTGGATTCCGGGGACGCGGTCGCGGTCGCGGAGCGGCAGTTGCCGGAGAGAATTAGAGTTAGCTGTGTTATAAGATGATGGATTTGGTTGTCCAACCGTGACGTTGGGATATAGGTTGGCTGGGGTATATACAGAGGATGTAGATGATAGGCAACACCACCAGTGACTCGATACCCAAATGACATGATGGACTATGTACCATGATTGGATTGATTAATCCCCACATTGTATGCAGAAAACAGAAAAGGAATAGCAGTAGTGTTAAACAAGTTAAGCATTGACCTCATTCCAATCAACGATAATCCAGGGAAAGCCAACATTTACTTGATAATCGGAGATGCCCCGACTCTGCGGAAACGAAGCTGGAAAAGTATCCGAACCCTAAGTTACTATATAGTTTTACCTCCCATCTGATTCCCCATCTTTCCAACTCTACACTTCAGTCAAACCAAACCAAAATAAAATGTCCCTCCCCACCTTCGACAACCTAACCCTCGACCCCAACGGCCCCCCAGGAAACGCCTGGGGTCTCTTCGGCCCGGCGAACAACGACCTGGGGATGCTAAATCTACTAACCCCGGAAACCGTTCGACAAGCCGCAACCGAGGAAATCCGCGACGGAGTGCGCATTTCCCTGGATCTACCACTCAACCGTGTGCGACATTCCAGCTTTAATCGGAAACCGTTCGTCCAGGAACTGATCAACAAGGCGCCGCGGTTCGTGAATGATGATGTGTTGACGTTCAATACCCAGACGAGTACCCAGTGGGATGGGTTCCGGCATTATGGTACTCCTTCTTTCCCCTTTTTCAACTACTTACTTCGTAGAGATTGTGATGAGCGATGCTAGCTAATTCAGAGACTGACTGAGTTTGTAGGAAATCAGACACACGGATGCTACTTCAACGGCCACTGTTTGGAGGAGTTGAAGTCGTCGGGTGTATTGGGTATTGATGGTGCGTACTATATACTACTACCACCTACAATCCTACTACTACCCATATATTTACAAACCACCCTGAATAAAAGCAACTACGCATACTAATATGAAAAAACAGCATGGGCCAAAAAAGGCGGCATAACCGGCCGAGGCATCCTCCTCGACTACGCCCACTGGGCCAGCACGCACTCCATCCCCCTAACGCCCTTCACAACCAGCAGCATTCCCCTCTCGCATCTCCAATCGCTCATGACCGAATACAACATCCAGACTCGTCCGGGAGACATCCTCTTCATCCGCACAGGCTTCACAGCCGCTTTCAACGCCCTTACCCCGGCCCAGGAGGAAGAGCTCGGCAACCGCCCCGCGCCCAGTTTCGCGGGCATCGAGAACGGAGAGGCCATGTTGCGCTGGCTATGGGAGAACCAGTTTGCGGCTGTGGCGTCGGATACGCCGAGTTTGGAGCCTGCGCCGATCAAGCATGAAAAGGGGATGACTCTGCATGAGTGGTGTTTGGCTGGGTGGGGAATGCCTATTGGAGAGTATTTTGATTTGGAGGAATTGGCGACGTATTGTAGGGAGAAGGGGAGGTGGGGGTTCTTTTTGTGTAGTGTGCCGTTGAAGGTGAGTTCATAACTACCATCTATTGATCTATTTTCTTTAGTGTAATTTGTGCTGTGGTGTGGTTGGTGGGCTAATTGGGTTTGCTTGTTTGTTTAGGTTCCTGGTGGTGTGGCTAGTCCGCCTAATGCGGTGGCTATTTTGTGATCCATGAATCTATGAGTGTGGGGAATGGGTTGCTTGGGGGTAGAAATGGACTGTTTGGTGTCTGGGGAATGAGGAGAACTGCTTGTGGAAGATGATATATATAGTGCATGTTGTTTGGTTGTCGGTTTCCTTTTACGTACATGTAAGTATGTCCACAGGAGACTTGTCAGAAGGTGTAGGGCTGTGATATATTTAGACGCAGGCTTTGCAATTCTACTACTACATAAATACTAAGCAAACCAAACAGAAGATTACTTCTATTATACTCATATATTCAGTATACGGTCAACTAGACCTATAAACACAGCAATACTCCCAACTTTTTGCTGTCCCTCTTTTTTGTATCTCCAGGTATACCACAGATCAAACGCCAGGCGCAAATGCAAAGCAAAGCAGAAAGACGGCTGGGAGAGTGAACACAGAACGAACAGGAAGGTCTAAGATTACAGAGGACAAATACAAACAAACATAACAATCATTCCAGACCCACCCATTCTCCTTCACCCTCTTCGTTCGAGTCAGCATCGGACATCTTCTCGTCGTCCGCATTCCTCTCAAGAGTCTCACCCAGCGCCCTCATGGCCAGATCAGGCTTCTTGTTTCCGGCAAGGACCGGCCTTGAAAGGAGGTAGTTGAGGTTGTGGATGTTCTTCTCAGTGAGTCGCTTCAAGCTGTTGTTGATCTCGTCGATGGCGCGCTGCACCGCACGGAGCTCGGGCGCGAAGCTGCCCGAGTTCTCCTTGAAGTACCGGCCGTGGTTGCTGAAGAGCGCTTCGATCCACAGCAGGTTAAACTCGAGATGGGGCGTTTCTTCCGCGGCATGAGCCACGAAGCGGAGAAGACGGGGAAGGTAGACCGTAGGAACTGAGCGGACCACATGGGTGATTTCGGAGGGAGGGATGGCTTCGTGGACTGCCCGAATAAGTTTCTGCTCATTCAGACGGAAGGCCATGATAAATGCTTTCAGAAAGGTGTCATCGTCGTTCACTTCGCCCGTTACAGCGGCTCTCTTGGCGCCTTCCAGGGTGGCCAGGATGCTGGACGGCGTGATGGAGATGTCGAGATCATAGGGATCGAAGACAAGGTCCGAGTCCAAGCTGTAGATAAGCAGTCCCTCAGTGGAAGCCGCACAGAATGCACGGCCGGTAGGCGAGAAGTCGACTGCCGTGACGCGGACCTCGGGACGAGTCGTACGGACTCCGGGGTCGCCACGCTTGGCTCCAGGCAGGTTGCGGTCCACACGTGTCTCGTGGTCGGAGGCTTCACCGGTCTCATCAATAAGGCCGCGCGGGCCAGCTTCGGTCATGTCACGGCTGTTGAGGATCTCCTGGGTTCCATCAAGGGAGGTGTTGACCGACACGGTATACTTCTTCAGCATAGAGCCCGTCGCCACGTCGTACAGGCAAATGTACTTGCTGTTTCCAGCAGCGAGAATACAACTACCGTCAGAGCTGTACCTGATGCAACGGAAGGACTTGGTCCCGGCAGCGTTAGCAGCCGTTTGACGGTCGGTGATCTTGCGTCCGCCGGACACATCACGGCGACCATCCACTCCACCGACCTGCACGGCATTCTCCACCGACCAGAAACTCAGCTGTCCGTCCAAGGTGGACGCGGCGACCTGCTTTCCATCAGGTCGGAAAGCCACACTCAGCACATCCGCCTGGAGCTGAAGCGGCTCACTGGTTTGTGTCCGTCCGAAAATGCTCCACACACGCACGGTACGATCCCAACTGCCGGTCACCAAGTGACTGCCGTCTGCAGCAAATGCCATGGTAACAATGGGTCCTTCATGACCAGCCAACTGGTCAAGCAGCTGACCAGTCTGTACGGACCAGATATGAATGTCGAAGGAGTCCGGAGATCCGGCGCAGACAACCTCACCACTGGGGTCGACAGCAAGCGATGAGAAGGACAACCGGGATGGAGCGGTGAATGTGCGGAAGTTTCGATAACGGATGAGATCCCATGCTCTTACCGAGCCGTCCAAAGAGGCTGTGAACAAAACATTTCCTTTCTTGGAGAACTCGCACGCCGTGACTCCACTCGTGTGTTCCGTAAATGTGACAAGGCAGAAGCCAGACTTGACGTCCCAGACCTTGATCTTTCCATCATCTGCCGCAGTGACAATTCTTTGACCGTCAGGGGAGTAGGCCAATGCATTCATGGAATCAAGGTGGCCTTGTTGCTTCAAGATGTAAGACTCTGACTGCCACTCCCAGACCAACAGCTGACCATGCTGTGAGGAGCCAAACGCCAGCCACTCACCCGACTTGTTTATCGTAACGCAGTCGATGTTGCTCTGGGAGACACTAGACGCGAGTCAGCTCTGTAACTCAGTATTTAGCCGATGATCACATACCTCAACTGATGGATCTGATTGAATTCCGGGAGGTCATAGAGTCCGAACAGACCGTTCGAGAACCCGACAACCAGCAAGTTGGTGGGCGCATGGAAGGCGGCACAGTTGACCTTGGCATCGTTCTGCATGAAGAAGTCCTTCTTAACAATCCTCCAGCGAGCCTCCGCGATATCATCCATCGTTTCTGGGTCCTTCTTGGTCACATATTCCCATCTGAACAGGGCTCCGTCCGAGCTGACTGTGTAGATCTATTTGCGATTAGCTTAAGCTCAATCACTCCTGCGCGCAGACTTACCGATTCTTGATCAGCAGAGAAGTATGCTGCCTTCACGCCCTGGCGATGACCAGCCAGTGTAGTGGGCTCGAAGCCCTCCTCGGGGTCCATACTCCATACCCGGGCCGTCAAGTCCCTGGAAGCTGTGAGCAAGAAGCGGGAGTCGCTGGACCACTCGATGTGCTGGATCACGTCGAAATGACCGGCAAGGTCACGGTGCAAAACGAAGGGGGCAAATTCAAGCTCGCCATTGTTGTCAGTGCCTGGTGTCGTCGGGGTGTTCCAGAACTGCAGGCGTCTTCCCACTCCGACGGCGAAGTGACGACCAGACGGGGAGAACTGAAGCGCGGAGACACGGCCTTTGAAGGAGAAGTGATGAATGACAATTCGGCGGAGGAAGTTGGTCAAGATAGCGCGACCATTCTCATCAATGGTCAGGAGGAGGTTGCCGCGAGGTGAGAGAGCAACACGGTCAATGTTGGTGCGGTGCGCAAAGGGAAGGGTATAGGAGGTGTTGCTGCGGGGAGGGGCGCATCAGTATACGTTGTCTGTATCTGACAGCATAGGAAGAATCGGTAGACATACTGGACTAGGTCGAATACCGAGACCTGATTGCCCACTGGGGAGATCAAGCAGGTGCCATCGGGCGTAAAGAGCAAATTACCTTTGCGATAGACCGTACCCAGTAGGTTGGAGAACTAGACGAGAGATGTTGTTAGAACATTTTCCAGCACTTGCAGTCCCCCTTTCGCTGCGAGGTCACATTCAACCTAAAGACGCCAAATCAAATGAGCTCACCTTGAAATCTGTCTTCATTGTCGCCAACCGAATCCGTTTGCACGTCAATCAGCAAGCGCTTTTCTCTGCCATCCGGACGATCTTCAAAAAAATCGTCTTGCCAAAAGCGGGCGATAAGAGCCGGGATCAACAGTTGCTCCGGTCCCGAGACGTTAGTCTCCAATAGTGTTAGCGCCATCCGGGGCCATAGCGTCTGCACTAAACCCGATGAGGCAAGGAACTATTGTTTCAACTCTGCCTGAGGCTGCCAACAACCCCGGGCGGGCTGGTCACGCCGGTTGTGTTTGCAGGTGTTTGCCTGGGGGGGATTCAGGGGCAGCCAACCCGACCAGCCAACCAGCCAAACCAACCCAGTGCAAGAAGAAGAAGGCACGTCCTCCAAGTTCCATCCACGCCAGTCCCTCTTTCCCCTTCACGCCCACCCTCCAACAGGCCATTGCTTCCCTAATCCTCGCCTTGTCTTCTTCCCCATCTCTCGTTGCTTTTCCCTCGTACCGTTGGCCCTTCTCCTCAAGGCCAGGGTTGTCGTTTGTCTTTATTTACTCCCGCTGTTTAGCTCTGTTTAATTGAGTTCCAACTCACCCCTTTATCATCATGTCCTCCACCGAGACTGCCTCCCCCATTGGCATTGCCAACGTAAGTCATGGACCATATCTAAATTCCCAAACAAGATCCAAAATCTCATTCTAACATCGTTTCTCAATAGCTCCCCAACCAGCGGTATGTGTCGCCAGATGCGCGCCAACTCATGATATATTCTAACCAATCTATTCAGACACAAGATTGTCGCCAAGCGGGGTGCGGCCTTCACTATCATGGTTGGTTCATTCGAGATACTGTCGAGGGAAGAAGCCCAATGCTCATCAATTCATACAGGTCGCTGGTGAATCTGGCTTGGGAAAGACCACCTTTATCAACACCCTGTTCTCCACCACCATCAAGAACTACGCCGACCACAAGCGCCGTCATCAGAAGCAGATTGACCGCACCGTCGAGATTGAGATCACCAAGGCTGAGCTGGAGGAGAAGTTCTTCAAAGGTTCATACACACAACACCCTCACCGCTGGACTGGCTGCTAACGCTGCGGGTTGCCTCCCGCTCTAGTCCGCCTGACCGTCATTGATACCCCCGGATTCGGAGACTATGTCAACAACCGTGACTCTTGGCAACCGATCATTGAGTTCCTCGACGACCAGCATGAGTCGTACATGTTGCAAGAGCAGCAGCCTCGCCGTACAGACAAGATCGATATGCGTGTGCATGCCTGCCTGTACTTCATCCGCCCCACCGGACACACCCTGAAGCCCCTCGACATTGAGGTCATGAAGCGCTTGAGCTCCCGTGTCAACCTTATCCCCGTCGTTGCCAAGGCCGATACCCTCAGCCCCTCGGATTTGGCCGTTTACAAGCAGAGAGTGAGCCACTCAGCCATTGTCCCGTGCTGAAGAATGGAAGTTAACCACAGGTGATCCTATCAGATTCGTGCTGTCATCGAGGCCCAGGGCATCAAGATCTACACCCCTCCCGTCGAGGAGGACGACGAGCATGCCGCTGCTCACGCGCGCACCCTCACGGCTGCCATGCCTTTCGCTGTTATCGGATCCGAGAAGGACGTCAAGACCACCGACAACCGGGTCGTTAAGGGTCGTCAATACGCCTGGGGTGTTGCCGAAGTTGAGAACGAGGATCACTGCGATTTCAAGAAGCTCCGCTCTATTCTGATCCGCACCCACATGCTCGATCTCATCCACACTACCGAAGAGCAGCACTACGAGGCCTACCGCGCACAGCAGATGGAAACCCGCAAATTCGGCGAGGCCCGCCCCAGGAAGCTGGACAACCCCAAGTTCAAGGAAGAAGAGGAGAACCTGCGCAAGCGTTTCACCGAGCAGGTCAAGGTCGAGGAGCAGCGGTTCCGCCAGTGGGAGCAGAAGCTCATTGCAGAGAGGGATCGCCTCAACAAGGACCTGGAGGCCACCCATGCTGCGTAAGTTTGCCCAAGTCCTCGTTTATAACCACACGATGCTAACCGCCAACAGAATCAAATCGCTCGAGCAGGAGATCGAGGGGCTGCAGGGCTCTTCTACTCGCAGCCATGGACGTCGTTAAGATACCAGAGGACCACCGGACACGACCGTGGGCCTGTAACGGACTGTGGAAAAGCAGAAGAAATGTGCTTTCGTCTCGACTAATATCTTTACATCTGACTACCCCTTTAAATGTTTTTCTTTCCTTTTGATTTTCGGATTTTGCGCGCTCAGGGGGACCATGCAACCTGGGTCGAGATTGCCGCCCAGAGTTGTCTGGAGATTTTGCTCTTCTGATTTGCCTGCTGGTAACTAGCGATGGTTTGACTACATCTTCGATAATAACCCACTTGTACTCCGTAGCATGTCAATACAGATTTAATTATGTGCATGTGCTGCAGAGAAATAGAAAAAAAGAAAACAGAAAAAAGAAAGTATGAACCGTTGGTTCCCGTTGATCCGCAGGAATGCGGAGTAACTTTGGCGGATTTGCTTGAAGCTAAAATAATATGGACCCCGCCGGCGGTGAGCCGCGCCCATCTGTTTTGTCTCCAACTTCCGCATTCCGGCCTTCATGTTGCATGTCGAGCAGTGAACAATCTCCGATCCCGCACAGCTTCACTACGCTTGTTGCTGAGAGCTTTCCCTCGGTCTTTCAGAAAGATTACCAATGCCAGCAATAAAACAGTTCCCCACTCAACTGGCCCACACCCTCAGAACCCACAATGGTAAGCTAGCTCCACGCCTTAAGCTCTAGAAGCTCTAGATCCCCTCTGACGTACCTCAGGCCCCGTGAACGCTGTGACCTTCTCCAGCTATCCTGGAACCTATGTCCTTACCGGCTCGACAGATCGTGCTATTCACCTCTCCCGGGCTATTCCCAATAATAACAATGGCTCCGCCGCAGAGACAACGTCCCCAATCCAGAAGTATGAGGCGCACGGGTACTCCGTGTTAGATATTGCCGTCGCCGCAGATAACTCCCGGTTCGCCAGCGTTGGTGGAGACCGCCAGGTCTTTCTGTGGGATGTCGAACAGGGAGGAACAATTAGACGCTGGAGTGGACACAATGCGCGTGTTGAGGCCGTCCAATTCGCAGGCGAAGATGACTCTGTCGTGGTGTCTGGTAAATTCGTCCCAATTCTAATTAACGCTTTTCTTCGCGATCACTAACTGTTCTTGCATCCGGTCTAGGCAGCGCAGACACAACTATTAACATCTGGGATACCAAGTCCAACTCCTACAAGCCCATCCAGACCCTCACCGAAGCCCGAGATACCGTTTCCTCCTTACACGTGCACATGCCCACATATTCTATCGCGAGCGCAAGCTACGACGGTCGAGTTCGAGTGTACGATATTCGAATGGGACGCACCCTTGTCGATGTTCTCGCACACCCTGTTACTAGTGTTCGCTGCTCCAATGACGGCAATGCTCTTTTAGCATCTACAACAGACGGGCGCATCCGGATGCTGGACCGGAGTGACGGCAAACTATTAAAGGCTTTTGGCGGCGACGATGTCAGTCCAAGTCAGGGTAATAGCAATGCCACATATCGCAAAAGCGACCTTCGAATTCGCTCTATATTCGCGAAAGCGGACGCCATTGTCCTCAGCGGGAGTGCGGCAGATGACTCTGGCAATGGCAATGATGCTACGCAGGCGTCCGTATTCGCCTGGGATGTGCTCAGTGGAGAAGTGGTCGCGTGTGTCCCAGCCGGACCAGGCGTCAAGGCCGTGAGTGCTGTATCGTGGAATGAAAAAGGAAATTGCTGGGCTGGTGGTTGTTCAGATGGTATGTCTCAGCTATCATTGTCTATTTTTGTTTGTGCAACCCTCCTCTATCTTTATTTACCACTACTATGCATTTTGTCCTCGTTTTCAAACTCTGCACTGTACCTGTTTTTCTCACTACGTGGCGCATTGCACGTGGCTAACCAACTGTCCCTCTGCTGACTGGTAACCATCAGGAACCGTCAAAGTCTATCGCTAAGTTTAGACTGTGTTGTCTGACCCTTGCCCAGCTAGCTAGCTAGTCAAGAGCTAGCTAGAGCCCAGCCACTCATCAACTAATCCCGACAAGACAAGACAAGACTACAATACCCCAGCAACCAAGCCAACCGGTCAACAGGCAAGGTTCCCCGTCAGCAATAATAATCATCATCAGCCACCAGCGCCTACGCACAGACGTTCTCACCCTCTTGGCTTAGCTTTGCGCTTCCCTTTCCACCCCTCAATGGCTCGTGTTCCAACCATGACTGGATACCATGCGAACTTATAAGAAAACGCCACCACCACCATCAACAGCACGTGTAGCGTGTAGCGCTTATCAATGCACACCAATGCGAACGGATGTTCTCAGCCTTGTTGCCTGCATTTATCCCCTAACAAGTACCGCTTGCTGGCTACTTGCTTACTTACTTTCCGTCCTTGCCCGCCCACCATCTTCTTCCTTCTCGGATATCGCCGGCAAGAAAATAAAGATAGATAGATAGATTGCGTTGCGTCGCCTCGCATTGCATCAGCTGTCGTGATCATCGGATAGGTGGTGCGTGCGCCACTCCGCTCCACTCCACTCTACCAGACAGACCAAATGACATAAAAAAGAGGAGGGAGAATAATAAGCAGCGACGCTAGGCTACTTACTATTCTTGTACGTCTGCCGAAACAGGGAATAGGTTAGGTTCAGCCCGGATATGGTGTGGTGTGGTGTATCGGTGTAAGTAGCGACTACGTATCCATCTGTTCAATGATTGGATCAGTGTGTGAGATGGTGGAGAAACATTGAGCAGGCTGAAGCTTTTAATTTTCCTTGCAGTTCTGTTATATTGTTCACGAGGCATTCCAGCCTGTGGCGACAGACAGACACAGTGCGGTGGCGAGTATTGTCGTTGCTCATCGCTCGCTCGCTCGCTCAGCCTCGAAGGAGCGCTTGGATTGTCTGAGCGCCTAACTATCCTCTGCGCAACCAATTGCGGAAGGACGAGTCTACTGAGTGATTTTTGATGACGCGAGATACGGTTTTGGTTTGGTTGGAAGTAATACAGGATTGAGGCTCTGCAATAGACCCAACTTGAGGATCAATGATTTCTTTGTCATCGTGAAACTTTGTCTGTGATTCTTCCATACAATTTCCAATCACCCATATGCAGTTTAGACTAGGAAATATAGATCGTCAGCCATGCTAGATACAAATCACGTATATCCGCCCTGAAAGTAATTCGAGGATTAAACACGGGTCGAAACGAACCCAAATAGACAACTCCGACCTCGCTTGCTAAAGTATTGACAGTGTTAGGAAAAGTGGAAACAGTATGTCGTGCTTAAAGAAAGTAAAGATAGAAATTCCGTGTCGCAGGAAAAAGAAGAAAAAATGCATATATCTCGATACATTAAACTTTTCGGAATGTATGCAACGTAAGTCCGAGCTGCAGTTTGCTAGAAGGGGAAGTCCAAGCAAGAAAGGTCAATGCAACAAAGGGAAAAATAAGATGATGCAGCATTTTTGGTATCCGTTTGAGCATAATTCATTAAGAAAACAAGTAAGAATCGAAAGGACACAAGGGAATTGAGCGTGGTTGCTACGCTGAATAACGGAAAATCAAGAATAAGCAGGGTGAAAAAGAAGAGTAAATGCAAAACAAGTGGTTCAAAAAACTTTTTGTTGTAAGCAGAAGAAGATCAGAGTTCGAGTGCCGTGATTCCTGCATCGGGTTCGTGGCTTTCTGCTTCGAGGGCGTCGACGGCACGATGAAGCTCGTGTTCGCCCACAATGATGGAACCCGCCCGCGCAGTGCTAAGAAAGCTGATCTCGACGGCGTCCATGTATGGGTCCATGTCTGGCTGCAGACGATGGGTTCTGTAGCCGGGGCTAGTGCCGAAGGATCTGACAGGTCCACCGGAGCCGTGGCTAGAGGACAGGACATTTTTGAAGGCACTGTCGAAAGAGGAGCCACCGCCGTTCCACGAATGGGAAAGAATCGTGGATACGTCAGTATCCTCATCGCCCCGTGCGTGCGTCGCGTCGGCCAGTCGGCCAGCAACTCCGCACACAATACCTGAAGCTTCCAGCGGAAGCTTACGTAGGTCGAGCATGATGGGAACAAGAACCTCTTCCTTAGATCCCAAGAGAAGACTTGTATCGTCATCCGAGTCAGTGGCCGCTGATGAGTCACTTGAGAAGCGGGGGAGAAGACGCTTTTCCAGCAAGAGTGATGCCGCGGGGTCAGCAGCGGTTAGGGTGAGGGAGAGGAACCGTGGCTTGTCGACGATCAAAGCTGTCGTGAGGGCTTCCCGGAGGATGGCAATGGAGCTTGTATCGCTCGTGTAGCGGTGATGCGCGGCGCATTGCACTAGACGCAGGGTTCTGTCAACGGATGGGACAATTTGGTGCTTCCGCAGCGAGCTGAACGTGCGCGTTTGCAGTTCATCCAGCGACGAGGGTGGCGGAGTGGCAGGAGGGGAGCTCAGGCTGCTCGCCGACCGGGACGAGACGGGACTAAAGCAGCTGTTGAATTGGGATTGGTTGTTGTTGACGAAAGCCTCCGTTGACATTTCGAAATGAAAGCCACGCTTCTCCAAGGCTTCAATAACCTGGGTCTTGCTTCGAAGAGGCACGATGATGTAGTCGGAAAAGTACGTGGAGATGAAGAAGATAGAGCTACAGCATGTCAGCCAGAACGTTGCACAAACTCAAGGTCAGCTGCACCATACATTCCTGCCATGGCCAGCGGGCTCGTAAGCTCGAGGACCCGTTGGCCAGCTTCGAGGCCCTCTCCGTACACCTGCATGGCAATAAAATCATCATGGCTGATGGAGAGGCGGCTTTGGCCCGAGGAACTGCTCTGAACGAACTTGTTGACCAGAGGAGCGAAGTACTCATTAGCAAGCTGTCTGGGGCACATGATCGAGCATTCCACAGGGGTGATTGAGAAATTCAAAAATGCCGGCTGGTGGCGTCTATGCCCCTCTGCGTACCCATCGTCCTCTTCCATTTGGTTCTCGGAGATAGGAGGCACCTCATGGAAGAGAATCTGCATGATCGGATTCAAAAAGAAGGGATATAGGTCTAAAGGGATATGCACCAGGGCCAGCCTGTCTTCCTGTATTTCAACAACAGTGGTCAGCAAGATTAGTCTACCAGGAGGGGATTCCATGCTGCTCCGCGTAGATTTGGGGGCATCGGTGCAGTGAAGGAGACAGCATGATAGCGATGGTACTTGAAGACTTACCATGAACTGGACCTGGGCAGAGATGAGAGATAATGACTGTTCCATCATGGTTGTCGATATCCAGATGACGTATTTGCATCAGAAGATCGGGATCATGCACAATCGAATGAGTGCGAGTTCAGTGTATGTGACAAGTAGTAGTAGTTAAGGTGCTCAAATCAGCTGCCGTCACCGAATATCCACAAACTCAGGCGACAGAGTGGTTTTAGTGATGCCAGGTGGATACAAGGCCGAGCATACGAGAGAAGATAAAAGGAGAAGTAGTCACGATCGGAAGTATGATGATGATGATGATGATGTGAAAGGCTGGCAAGACACCAGGCAATACAGGGTGAGGCAGGTGAACGGGACCAGTAATGTGTGGCGCAGGGCAACTCGAATCCTCTGGTGACAGCGTGAGTGGTCGGTGGTCTTCTTTATGCTTTTCTTTTCTTTTTGCGCTTGAGAGTTCTGGATGGCAGACAGCTTGCTTTCATTGTTTTCCAAACCCCCTTGGTTACGCCATTGTTTGAAAGAATGATATCAATGAGAGCCAGCACGCAAGAAGGGAGGAAGATCTAATCAGAGAGAGATGGTGCGGGATAGACGCAGCACGGGGGATCGGGTAGAGCAGGGGAAGTGGAGGATGGGTTGATGACTGAATAAGACCAAATAAGGAGGTAGTGAGGACTGGAGAGTAGGTGGAAGGGGAGTTGAAGTTGTCGTGGTGGTTGATTCTCAAGAGGGGAGAAGAAGAGCAGGTGACTTGAGCTTCTGGTCTTCTTCCTGCACTTCCTCTTTCTCTTTCTCTCCTCCTCACTTCTAATTCCTCGGCAACCCTCGAAGTTCCCCTTTCTTTCCTGTCTCACTTTCCCTCAATCCCTTTTGCTTCAGACTGGTTCAATTACCTGTCTGTCTCCAGTTGACTTTGAAAATGTTACACTTCAACCGCCACACCGGAGATGCGCTGAAAGACCCGGCGGAGTCAGCCTTCCCAAGGTACGACACCGGGGGATCGAAAAAAAGAAAAGAAAAGAGCTAAGGCACACTTGACAGATGAGGGGAAGGAGAGGGAAAAGAAAAGAAAATAAAATAAAAAAAAAATTAGAAGCAATCTGTTTGAGCACTGACTGATTGGCGGTTTAGGCACGTCGTCTGCTTCTTTTGCGCGCCGCCAGAATGACTCCTCTTATCCAGACTTTAAGAGCAAAAGATCAGACGAACCTTTTACCTAATAATCCATCCGTGGGAACACACCCAAATCAGCGTCTCGGCTTTATCTCCAGCTCCACCGACCCAGCACCTTATCAGCAGCACCAGCAAATCCCCTCGATCGCCACCCCGCGCTAGGCGCCGGTACCGACGTTGCCCTGTGCTCTCCGGTGCATCATTCAGGCGCACGGATCGAGCATTAATCTAATGGCTGATGTCTGGCGGGAGCAGGATTCGACGGTCAGAGCGAGGCAGGATTTCCTCTGCTGCTGCTCATCGGCTCCCCGCACTTTCCAGGGGCAAGGATGTTGTGCGATGAACGTGTGGGAGTGTAAGCTAGTCAGGCACCACGGTCGCTCCAGTTCCATCCATCCGGTCACACAGATGATCCTGCATTGCATCGGAGAAGCACAACCATGAAGTTCGTAGATGAGGCACTAATCAGCAATTTGCCACTATAAAGTATTGCACTAAGGGGAAGGTCGGAATGGGCTCATGGACTCGTTATCGCTTCCACCAGGCGCCAGCACCAGCACCATCAGCAAACACGGTTACGGTGTACTCTAGCAGT